GGCTCTCCTACTTAGGAGTCGCACTGTCAACGCGACGCTAAAATGATTCACTTCGTTATTTATCTCTTTGTTTTTCGAAGCTGCAACTCCGTCGACGCCCTGCGCCGTTCCCTGTGCGAGGCGAGGAGCAGCGTGGCACACCTCAGTGGCTGGCTGCGGTCGCGATCCGGAGGAGGGCCACGCGGAGGCCGTGGCTGCCGTGCCGAGGCGTGACGTATGTCGTCCGCAAGCCCGCCGCACTGGGCCGAGCTGACCTGGACCAAGCCCAAAGAGCAGCCCTTTGCCGCGTGGACGCGTCGCCGTGTCCCTTAAAGTGTCGTAAAAGTAACACGGCGACAGTAAAGTTTGCGGTGAGCGGGCCGGGTGTGGCCGGGCGTGGCCGAGCGGGGCCGCGAGGGGGCCGATGTAATTCCCGTTAGTGGGCCAGTTGGACCGGTGGGGCTCCCTTAAAGCGCGGCTGAGGCACAATGGCTGTTGTGGGCCAGCGGGGTGCTGGGCGGCCACGGCGGGGATGGGAGGGGCAGGGAGGGGGCGGGCCCGCGATGGCCGGGGCGGGGCAGATGGGCTCGCGTCGAGAACCAAACTTCTTTCGTAATTACTAATGCAGTTGCTGTGTTCCTCCGCAGCGCGTCGAGGGCCGACCCACCCTGCCACGACCGCGCAAACGCCATTCATGATTGCAGAAGAAATTAGGACAGCATCCTGGATGGGATTCATGATTTCGGGAATCGCGGCGGACAGATGAATTGACACGCAGGGTTCATAACAGGTCGATGGAAGCACACGCACTGTGGCCCTACCGCGCCTGTGCACTGTGAAATTTAGACGAAGATGATTTTTTAAAGTGCATAGGGCACGAAGCGCGCGTCACAAAAAGAGAAGGCCTTTGTAGGCTGCAAACAGTGTGTTTCATCGATAGAGACGTATACGCTCTGTGCACTCAACTATTGACAAGTGGACAACAGGCCCCAACAGACGATCGGCTACAGTGGACATCACACGACACAAGGAATAACAAGTTTGAGGTAAGACGTCTCACTCCCGATCACAACAAAGCACGCGACCATTTGAGGTTTGCTTTGGTTACCAGCGAATACTCAAGGCAAAACAAAAGAGATAATTGGGAACCCTATGTCAAGTCATGTCGGTACCAATTATTTGCTGTTCTCTCAATAGGCATGCAAAATGGTACCCTGGGCCATGGGACGGCACAATATTGGCCAATATTGTGCCGCCCCCATGCCTATGATTGGACTTTGACGCTACAATGTCAGACCGAGGGCGAGTCTGGAGGCTTCACGCAAGCGTGAGAGGCTGGACAGAGAGAGAAAAAAATCTCTCGCGACAGAGGCGGTTGTGCGAAAACATGAAATATGCAAAAGCTTGACGACACGTGGGAGGCAACTGCGGTGCGAGTCTGGCCACAGACCTCGTCCCGTGCCGTCCGCTTTGGGGAAGGGAAAAAGAGAGGGAGGGAGAGGGGGAGTACTAAACCAGTGCAGTGCCGGCGCGCCTCCTCTCAACCGCAAAATTGAGCAAAGCAAGCGCGTGCAGCGGGCCTTTGGCGTGGAGCTGTGCCGTCAAGACAAGAAGCTAACGCAGGTTTGGCGCAGATATGTCCATCCAAATTATTGAACCAAACTCTTTCCGTCGAATCACAGCGTCAAAGGACGTCCTCACTTTTCTCAGTAAAGATGGCCCGATGAAATTTTTTGGTGGAAAAGGGGCCCCCCCTTTTGGCCTTTTTAAAAAAGGGTTTCCTCAAAGCTTTTTCCCCCGGCGGGGAAACGTTCCCCAACCCCCTTTTTCCGTTTTGAAGGGGAAGCCCCCCACAAGGGGCCCCCCCAAACCCCCCAAACCCCCCCCGGGGGGAAGGGGGCCCCCGGGGGGGGGGGGAAACCCCCCTTTTAATTTCCCAAATTCCCCTTTTGGGGGGGTTTTTCCCCCAAATTTTTAAAAAACCCCGGGTTTTTCCCTTTTTTGAAAAATTTGGGGGAAGAAATTTTTTTTTTTCCCCTTAAAACCAGGCCCCAATTTAAAATCTTCTGAAGGACAAAAAGCATTTTGTTTCTTTTCTTTCTTTTTTTCAAAATAAAAATTTGAAAGTTTTTCTTGGAAGATTTTGAATTTGTTTTCCCCCTTTTCCCTGTTCGGGTTGCCATTGGTTTTGGGCCCTTACCGGCCCCCATTTTGGGGCCCCGGCCAGGGGGAAAAACGCAGGGCCACAAAATCGGGGCCCAAAACGCCGGGGACCCTGGGGAAACCAAACCCCAGGGCCGCAGTCTTGCCAAGAAAACCGGGGGGCCAAAAGCCGGCCAAACGGCCAAAGGGGCCCAAAAAGGGGGGGGGTTTTAAAAGGTTGGAAGGGCCATTGGAGGCCTAAAAAAAGGCTTTCCCTTAAGGCCCTTTTGTGGTTTTGGAACGGGAACCTTCAAACCCCGTTACAATGCACTGCCATGAAATATACAGCCACATTGGCGCCGCTGTGCGAGGAGACCCCCGCATTCCGAGCTGGCTTCTACCCCTTTCCTTTTTCGGCAATATATTTTCTCTCTTTTTTATTCATTTCACACCCCGGAATATGTCTTTCTTCGTCCCACCTTCCCGTAAGTTCTTCGCTCTCTCTTGCTCGCTTTCTCTCTCCTAGCCCTGCTTCTCAGCGACGCCCTATAACACTCTAATGCATGCGCAAGCGATGTGTGATCAATAATTTACAAATTCATTACCGGGTCCTGGGGTTTCTCTCACTTTCTCCCTCGCACACCCCCACCTGGGTTTACCTATACGTGCCAGGTCCCGTATCCTTCTGCTGATCTTTTCCGCAACCCGTCACGCTGTCGTCCTGTCTCGACCTTGGTCTCAACCGCCTCGCAGGGGCACCCCACCTTAGACATGCTTGTGCACACGACCCCTGGGCCGGCCAACACGGCCACGTTTCGCGCGGCCTTGTGAAAGGTATTTATGTCACGCCAATGCAATACGCATGGGGGCTACTTTGCAAAAGCCATTAATTTGTGATAAACTTTGGAGTGACGAAGATCGTTTTTTTGTCGTGAAGTAACAACACATGTTCCCATAGAGCGGGCACTTAGTGGTCCGCACTGGGACACATTCTGTGTGACATTGCCGTGAGTCCTTGGACCTTGTCGTTTATTGCAGTAAAGACAATAAAGTGAGTAAACTTTCACAAAGACGCGTTTATGCTTTTACGGTGTTGCCCGTCAATGTTGCGCTCCAAGGTACGAACGTAAACAAAGGTAGCACAAAAATTGGGCCGCATGTGGCTTTCTTTTTCGACCTGTAGAAAAAAGGGTGTTGAGTGCCGCCGGGGGCAGCGGCCGGGGGGGGGGGGGGGGGGGGAGGAATGCACGTGCTCTGCGTGGCCGCAGATAATGGGTTCTTAATGAGAGCGCTACCAGTGTTGTGGTGGTCGCAGCAGAGGTATTCAGAGGTCTTCCAAGGGGCAGAGTGGGTGGGCCCGGTGGGAGCGTTACAGGCCCTAGAGGGCTAGCTATCTCAAGGCACAAGCTCGGCCAAAAAAGAATCCATCACGCTGGATAACCAAAGATGCCGTTGTTTTCCCCTCATTTCGGCGCATTGATCTTTTTGTGCAAGGTGATACAACGTTCGGGCAACTACCCTCGGGTGTAGTCGGCAGAGACTCTGCCTAACAGCGTTACAACGGACTCGGTGCACCGCATGCGCCTCGCAGGGGCCGGCAGGGGCCGCCGGGCTGGCAAGTCAACAGGCAACTTAGAGGCGTGTTTGCCTGCAGGCTGCCTGCAGCAGCGCGCCGATGCAGCACTCCAGCCGCAATTACCCTTTCCCGGGCAGCCGAGCGTGGCTGCCACCCCTGCCCGTCCGCCCGGCGGCTTCCATCCCGGAAGCCCGCCCGGCACAGACTTGTAGCCGCCCGGTGGGACGGACCGATGAGGCGGCCAAGCTGGCCGAAGTCAAGGACATACTGGGAATCAGTGTCATCCCTGCCGGCCGAAGGCGCAGTGGCCGCCTGTCTAGTTGTGTCGAGACCTTGTTGGGGCGCAGCGTGAATCCGGCCGGGCCCCGCCGCACTGCCGCCCCGACGGGGCGCTGCTTGGAAGTGAGACTGAAAGGGTGAAACGGCAGTCTCAGCCCAGCACTTTACAGACCCGGGCGCTCGCTACAAGATGGGCTAGCCTTCATCATTTGTGAATGAGCTGCTGCCACCCCCGCCGGCCCCGCCGCCGGCCCCGCCAGCCCACAGTCCCCGGCAGCAAACCTCGGCCGCCCCCTCCCCTTCCTTCCGCTTATCTGGCCGTCTTTCAGCCTCGCATCTGACCACGCGCCTTGCCTCTCACCTGCGGCATGCCTGCGGCGGGGCGGCCCGGGGCGGCGGGCCTCTTGAGCGCGGCAGCGCGGCCCACCCTCTGTTTCGCCGGGCCAAAGAAGCCCCTCCGTCACCGGCGCCACGCGGCGCCACGCGGCGCTGCGCAAAGACCCAGGTATTCCTGCTGCCGATAAGATAGCGACTTGAAGCCTTTGAACGGAGGGAAGGGTGGAAACAATGGGGCCGAGAGCGGTCAAGGGTGGGGGCGGTTTTAACGCGCCCCGTTATCTGGTCAGACATTACAGTTATTCATGCCGGCAGAGGTTCGGGCACTTCAGCGACCGAAATGAGGAGAAAGGGGCGTCGGGATGCAGTGGTGAGAGCGGGAGAGCGGAGTAACACAGATGTACCCAAGAGGTCAAATTTGTATCACTTTATTTCTCATTATTAAGTTATTATGCATAGGAAATGGTACAGGAAAATGTGGTAGGGAAGGCCCCTCAGGAAAGGGAGGTGACAGTTGAGGTTTCAGTACATGTAAAGACTGAAATGAGTATGTTAGATTGGAAAACAAGATATTTCGTTAGTGAGAAAAGAGGAGAAAGCTAACACTTTTCATCAAGGCCAAGCCAAAAAGTTGTGTATAAAAAAGCAATACAAAGGAGGTCTACTCAACGCTGGTCTCGAGGCCAAATGACTTATCAATTCACATTTAGTATAACTTAAGTTGTTGACAGTGAATGTACGAAGTGAACAAAAGAATTGAAGGCTCCTGCGCAGAGCGGACATAACCCCACGACATATCTACACAGAACTAAACATGTCAGCGGCAGTTTGGAGTTTTAAATCTGATATCACAGACAGTAGCTTAGATCAGATTAACAAAATTCAGACAATTGACAAATGTGATTCTACTTTCTACGACGCCCAATGAGCTCTTTCCAGCTCCAGGAGGTGATTTGTTTTATTTATTTTATTTACACGGAATAGGAGAGCGATGCAAACAGAGGACATCCTTCCCAGCCGCCGTCTTCACTGAAATTCCTGAAGCAGCACAAAAACTACTTGGAATTCCCGTCTTGATTAAAGAAAAAAAAACGTGGCCGCACTCCAGTCTCTAACGTGATTTCTGAACGTACAATAATTCTACACAGTAGGTAAAATGTAAAATCCACTAGAGCACCAAAAATATTATGTATTACAATTCACGACGTTCTCTCACTTTTCTTGATATGGTCCCAAAACACATGGTGTATTGGAATGTGAGCTCGCAACCAGTACGACTAAACTGGAAATATGTACATCGTGAAGCACAGTAAAAAAAAATGGTCACCACCGCGTCAGTCAAAAACCTGTGGTCTTTTTTGCTGAAGAAAGTATTAGACGTTAAATTACACTAAACGAAAACCTACTCTGTCACTAATGATTCATTAATTCACAAGCAATACGTTGATTTTTGTTATTTACATCATACAAATGGCAGCATAAAACACTCCTAGAGTTTCTATGGAATGTAAGTGATTTTGAAAGTGCTCCAAAAAAACACGTGAAATCATAATGACGTGCAGGCTGTCATTCTCTACAAAACATAGGCCCAAGTACGAGCGAATGCAATAACCGCCTTTCAGCGTGTGATTTCACACATACAGATTGCTCGCACATTGAAGGCTCGAATAACTTAGTAATATCTTCACACCTCTCTTAGGCACAAAAGAGAACATTGAGCAAAAGTAGATTATTTTACAAATGGCCTCGGCAAGAAGCATACCCACAAGAAATAATACTAACATTAACGAACACAACTCTATCTCGTTAGTTACAAAAGACAAGGTGATGTGAAACAACGCACATACAAAAAAGAAAAGCGCGGTCATACGGTGATTTGATCGCCATTGTTTCATAAATGTTCGATTTGATCAGGTACCATCTTTTCAGCAGTCTCAATGATGTTCAGATTCAATTAATTTCGTGAACAAACATAATTGCAGTTGATGTTGACAACTGATCCATGAGCTTATTGGTGGCAAGTGGCTGGTGTCATGCATGAGGACATGTTCAGGCATCACCCCACACGACGGCAGTCTTGGCGCGGTCCACGCTCAGCAGGAAGCTGCCGTACGGATGCCACGACACAGCAGTCACCGCGTTCCTGGGCAAACCAAACCAGGGTCTAAGAGGGTGGGTGGGGGAACGACAGACACGTAGATGAAAACATGCACGGGAGGGAGTCAGGAAGTGGCGGGACGTCGTGAAGAAGGCAAATCAGCAAAGGACACGTTCAAGCAACACAAAAGAAGGAAAGGAAAGGAGAGGCGAAGCGCCATCACACGTTAGCAACAACAGAGTAAAAATGTAAAGGCAGCAACGATTCTAAGCTACAGAACTAAAGGTGACAACCTACCACTAGTTTTAACTACACTCTAAATCGAGAGGCGGCAATACCAGGGTGGCCACTCAATTCCAAAAATGAAATTCCCGGTTTTTTCCCGGTATTTCCCGGTCAAAATTAAGGCTTTTCTAGGTTATTTTAGTGGTTCAAAGGCGCTTTTTCAGGGCGCGGCAGCGCCTCGGGAAGGCTTTGACCGCTGATAGTTTGGGAGCAGTGGTCTTGCAAAAATGGTCAAACAGTGAATAAATTTCAGAAAATCACCGTTTTTGCTGACTTTGAGTGGTCACTGCATCCAATTTAGTTGCGGTCAAAGGCCTCCCTCGACGCCTTACTATTCTAAAGACCCTACTCTTTCATGTACCGCCTCGGGAAGGCTTTGACCGCTGATAGTTTGGGAGCAGTGGTCTTGCAAAAATGGTCAAACAGTGAATGAATTTCAGAAAATCACCGATTTTGCTGACTTTGAGCGGTCACTGCATCCAATTTAGTTGCGGTCAAAGGCCTCCCTCGACGCCTTACTATTCTAAAGACCCTACTCTTTCATATACCGCCTCGGGAAGGCTTTGACCGCTGATAGTTTTGGGAGCAGTGGTCTTGCAAAAATGGTCAAACAGTGAATGAATTTCAGAAAATCACCGTTTTTGCTGACTTTGAGCGGTCACTGCATCCAATTTAGTTGCGGTCAAAGGCCTCCCTCGACGCCTTACTATTCTAAAGACCCTACTCTTTCATGGCCCGCCTCGGGAAGGCTTTGACCGCTGATAGTTTGGGAGCAGTGGTCTTGCAAAAATGGTCAAACAGTGAATGAATTTCAGAAAATCACCGTTTTTGCTGACTTTGAGCGGTCACTGCATCCAATTTAGTTGCGGTCAATGGCCTCCGACGCCTTACTATTCTGAGGACCCTACTCTTTCGTGGCCCGCCTCGGGAAGGCTTTGACCGCTGATAGTTTGGGAGCAGTGGTCTCGCAAAAATGGTCAAAAAGTGATTGAATCCCCGAAAGTATGATTGTCATTTCATTGGATGATGTTGATTGTAGACGTGCAATGATTATCTTGAGTTGAGTACCCCTTGCTGCGGCGCCGACGACTACGACTGAACCTTCAGAAGAAATTGACCTACAAGCAGCGCAGGCCTTTTTCGCCTTTTTCCCGGTTTCAATATGAAATTCCCGGTTTTTTCCCGGTTTTTCAAGGAGATTTTATTTTCCCGGGTTTTTCCCGGTTTTCCCGGTTTTCCCGGTCGGTGGCCACCCTGAATACCCCCACACTTAATGGGCGACACTTTGTATTGACAGTGTCCAGGTTTAAGTGCCAATCAAAAAGCGGTACAGAAATTATCACCTTTGCGACACCAGGTGTAACGAAAACAGAATCGGAGAGTATTCGAGAAGAAATCAAAAAGCTAAAGCAAATCGGCTCGAAGCAAGATACTTACTGGTGCTCCTTCAGAATGTGCTCCACTTTGTTGGAATCGACGTTCCAGACGTAGACGGCGCCGTCCGCGGCACCCACCGCGATGAAGTGGGCGTCGGGGCTGAAGGCCGCGCGGGTGAAGTCACAGCCCACCTTGAAGCCGTCAGCTCTGAAAACAAAAGACACACACCGGTAAGAAGCGGCAGGGATGGTGTAGTCCTGGTCCCTCGCAAACCCTATAGACGGATTTCTTGATTCGTGCCGCCGTACAACGAACGACATCAATACCAGTATCTCTTTCTCGGAGCCGAAAGCACAGAATGTTTTTCTTTGAAATATGCATGAAGAACCGCAAACTACGCGTCGTGTAGCGCCTAAGCCAGCTGCAACCTATTTGTTCACAGTAGAGGCAAGTGAATTACCTACATTACGCGAGCCGAGCTGTCCGAATTAGGAGGCATTAAGAGCCGAGATATAGCACGGCCGCTTCACGGGCCTCCGTCTGAAGGCCAGGCCTGAAGGCCAGGCAGACCCCTCGGCTCCAGAGTTCAACTAATCAGGTCCAACGACTAACGGGCCGCCGGCCTGCCCGCAGTCCCTGCAGTGCGGCGGTCCAGGCATGGTCAGCGGGAAAATACTTGTCCGAGCTGAGTCACATCCCGTCCAGCGACCACTGCCGCTCCTTGAGCAAAGAGAGTTCGCCGCTTCCCTCTAAAGTCCTTTATTGGCTTCGGGCTGAGCAGGCCGCAAGCCAGCGACGGCACTTTTGCGCAGCCTCCTGCGGCCCACTGCCGAGCCCCGGGGCCCCGGCGCCACGGCCCTGCAAAGCAGTCAACCAGTGTTGTGCGCCATTGAGCCGCCGGGCCGCCGTAAAAGAGCGGAAATTGGCTAAAGCTCTTCCTAACGGAGGTACAACGTCGCCGCCCCGGGCACCACCGTTCATTACCAACACCAGGCCCACAGACGGGGAGCGTCCGGTCGCCGTGGCACTGCCTGCACCTGCAGCATCGCAAACCTCTCGGCGAACCTCCATCGCAGTTAGAAGATATTTGGCCGTGGTAAATGCTGAGACACCAAACTTGCACCAGAACCCTCTCACCTAACTTTCTGCTTCGGTGCCATTCTCGCAAGAGTCAGTAACTTGACTCATCTTTATATCTGACGCAGGCGGTATGTAAGATTGCATAAATCGCTAAAGCAAAAGTATTTGACTCTGACGCGCAGAAAACCGATGCGCCGAACAAAGCGTCACAGTGATAAGATAGTGCGCAAAGCAGGGCGGTGTGTCACCGACTGCATCACTGGCCGCGACTTGTGAGACTTATCTCAGCATATAAGACGTCGTTCGGTCCACAGGACGACAGACCGACAACAAGAAGCGTCCATCCGAACCACGCACGCCGCCACATCCACGAGTCGTCAGCGCCAGTCCCTCCTTCGCTACTTTTCAGTGAGTACACTTTGTAGTGTGAGCCCACCTGGGCGAACGAGGCAGTGACGATGGCCAGCCGGTGACACTAAGGCCGAACCGTTACGCGAAAGTTACTGTGCCGAGGGAACGCGGGGGCCGGGGATGTAAACAGTGCTGGACAAAGTGGCTGTAAAGACACGCAGCCTGATTTCCAGCAGCGGACCGAACGGAGTATTCGGCCCCCGGGCTGGGGTCTCGTCCCACGCGATGCGTGGTTTGATGGGAGGGGGAGTAAAATGTGGGCGACATCGGTCAGGCCGCTTTCTTAATTTTGACCAGCATTTCTCGGATAAATGGAACGCATTAGTGTGGAACGCCGGAATGTTACGGGAACAGAGAGAGAGAGAGAGAGAGAGAGAGAGAGAGAGAGAGAGAGAGAGAGAGAGGCCGGGAGGGAGGGGGATGGGATGCCACCACAGAGAAACACACAAAGTCGCACAACGGAGAACGGAGCCGAGCCAGCCAAACCTCGACACACGCACACGCAAAAAAATGTCATTTTCTAAAATGGCCGGTGTTCCACGAGGAAAGGGGGCACGAGGAATAGGGGCGAGGGAAGGTGGCGGTAGTTCAATCTGTGAGAGCGACGTAAAACGGCACTGGCAGCCCTCTGTGTCCCCGGCGGCCCCGGCGGCCCTGGCTTCCCTCCGCCAGGCAGACTGACGCGCCCTCTCCGCGCGGTGCATGTCAGCGGGAAGGGACCAAAGGACGTCGCGACGTCGCCGGGCTGCTTTTGCCCTGTTACGCTGCAGGCACGGCCGGGGCACGGCGTGGGGCTGTGGAACGCGCGGAACGTTCGACACGAGCACGGCGGCAGCCAGGCGGCAGCCAGGCGGCAGCGCGAAGGGCACATGACTACGACCCAGGCCCGCAGGTACACGGCCACCGCTATCAAAGGGGAGCGCCAGACAGGTCTGCAGCTCGGAGTGAAAATAAATTACACCCCTACGTTCATTATGTGGGTAAACAGGCTGTAGCGAGCGTTGCGCCCCGACCCCTCCGCGCCACTGCAAGCGTCGGGAGGCTCGCCTGGCTGCACTGCCACAGGAGTAGGGTTAAATATACAAAGGGAATTCGGCCCGAAGGCCCAACTTTCGGTAGCATCACCGAGTAGCGTTTCGATACCTACTGGTAGTTGTGGCGAGGCGCTGAGAAAGGACTCAGCTGTGGCGGCCCGTTCGAGAAAGACTCAGTCAGATAGGAATCCAGCAGCAACTGAGTCTTTCTCCAACGGGCCGCTACAACTGAGTCTTTTCTCAGTGCCTCGCCACAACAGAGTATTTCTTACTGGTAGGTATCGGTTTGTCGAAGCTAAGAATTCAAGCCCATGGGACTGAAAAGTTGATTCTGCTGTGGCTTTGGGTGGGATGATCCATGAAACGGAAACGGTAGACAGAAGAGAGACAAGGCAAACCCATCTCGTGTTGTGCAAATGCCAACTTACAGGGGGCTCAGATGCTCGTGCGACTTGCTTTTACCCGCTTCCCGGCTGATTTGTCCCCTGCCCTGCCCCGTTCAAGGAAAAGTCGATTCCTGGCCGACGCGTCCGGGGCAGTGTCTGGGGGCTGTGTCCGGGGCAATCAGGCCGGCCGTCATTTCCGCGTCGGCCTGTTTGCAGTGTGGGCGCGCCCGATATTTTTACTGCCCGCGGCGCTGGCTGACGACCGGCCGATATCGGGCCGAGCCGCGCGACACGCCGCCCAACTCGCGGTGCAGCGCGCTGCATAATGCACGCGCTAACAGGGCCAACAACTTGGCTACGCGTGTGGCGCCGGCTCGGGCGCCGGCCAACTTGGCCCAACTGAATCGCTTTGTGGACTCGTTCCGAACAGTGGCTTCCGGTCGCGCGCTCGCACCGTCACGGGGCCGCCCTTGGGTGCGAGAAAGACAGCACTGTCGGGCATCAGATTGCCGCCGGGCGGCGCAGCACTGCGCCGCTTTAAAATTGCATCTCTATAATGGGCGGGCCGCGGCGGCCGATGGCGGTGGGCCCAGACGAAATCCGGTTACATAGGCCCGGTTTCGACTCCGACCCGGCCCCGACCGGCCCGACCCGGACCTCGATCCGGCCCGCCGGCCGAGACCGGCCCACGACCGTGCAAAGACCGGCCAGACCGGCCGAGGCGTGCGCGGCGGCCGAGTCCGTGCCTTAGGACCTCTGAACCCTCTGAGTCAAGCCCCGATACGATGGCCCACCGAGTGAACTCGCGCGCACGCTGTAAGATGACGCCACCAAAAGTTGCCGTCCCTACAGTTAGTCCGGACTGTGCGGTTCCACGGACTTACGCATGGGAACCATCTTCGGGTGCGCGCACTCTAACCGTAGGGCCGACTTGGCCACCGGATGGCTCGTCGGGGCTGGCCAAGGCTTGCCGGGTCACTATACGGGGACCGGTCGTAATCAGGCCGTCCGGCCCACCGGAGTCTGGCCGGTCTTGTCGGGATTAGGCCGGGTCCGGCCGGATCGGGCGGGTCTGGCGGTCGGCCGGTCGGACTCGTAATTGGTCTATGGGCGGGACTCGTCGAGTCTGGTGGCGGTTGGGGCCGACACTGCACGGCGTGGCACGGCGTGGCACGGCACGGCGTGGCACGGCATGGCGTGGCACGGCGTGGCACGGCACGGCGTGGCACGGCACGGCGTGGCACGGCACGGCCGCAACGCGCGGCGTCCCTCGAAGTTTGTTAGCGGCTCATTCATGCTTGATGTGCTGCGGGCCCCGGGCGAGTGCCGCGCGACAGCTCCTGGACGCAACACAGAGACATAATCCGTAATAGTTCTCGCAGTCCCTCCCAAAGAATTGATGGCTCCGGCGGACTTTCCTAGTGTTGACTGCTCCCGGAGAGTTTCTGTGGGTCTTCTTCGTGGACTTCGGGCGAGGCGGGCGGGGGCGTCCTCGTCGGCCGCTCCTCCCCGCCTCTCGTGTTTTTGTCGAGAGCAAAGTAAAAGTAGGGTGTGGCTTACGTGAAGGAGCAGACGATGGTGTTCATCCTCAGGTCCAGCATCTTGAGGGAGTCGTCACGCACGCAGCTCAGCAGGTACTTTCCATCTGAAAACAAGCAGGGCGTGAGAGACTCGAAATCAGAAACTGGCTCGCGACAAAAAAAGGTCATCTCTCTTCGAAAGCGGCCGTCGTGCGAGACAAATCGGACCGAAAACGACACGCGAGTATTCACCGCATCCCCGGTTATCGGCCAATTAGCGAAAGCCTCGCGGTCGGGCTTGGGCCTCTCGGACAAATTGAGCCCCGCAACTGTAGCTCGGTACGCCAATACCAATCAATTAATGGCATTTGAATAATCCGCGCCAGGGCCGGGCGCCCAGGGCCGAGGGCGCCGCGTACACGTCCTGCGGGGCCGCCGCGCGGGGTATCGCCGCTGCTGGAGTAGAGCCTCGGGCGCGGGGTATTCCCGGCGCGGCGTACCGACGCAGGGCCCGCGCGGCGTACCGGCGCAGCATCCCTGCGGCAGGACCGCTTCGCGGTGGCGCCCCTAGGTGGCGCTAGTCGGCTCTCGCGGCGGCAGTCCCTCGGAGCGCGGCGTATCGCGCTCTCGGCTGCTGGAGGCATTGTCGACCCTCCATCCCATGGTTTATTGCGACTACCTCAGCAGCACGCGGGGGAGTGCTCTCCGTTGCATTCACAGTATTTCGAGATTTTTCTTCGTTCCGTCATCACATTCTTTTCATTTTAAGATGAAGACCTCTTAATAGTAGATAAAATACCAGGATACATTGGCATTGAAGCACTTTGAGGTCTCAAATCGGCCTGAATGAGGTTCCACCCATACCCCACGATTCCAAAAACGAAAGAGGACAGAACTACGAAACATCCAGCAGTGACGCGTGCAGATAGTCGCACTGAATGATCCTTCCGAAGTGTATTGAGTGTTAAAGATGTTTTACTACGATATTCGGAAAATTGCGGAAACCCAGCCCATGACCTCGACCTCCCCGACCCCGGCGGTGGCGGTGGCGCGCAGCCCTTCGCCTTTCTCCGCGACCCCCGGCACGGCCTGGCACGCCGGCCTGGCACGGCACGGCCTGGCACGGCCCGGCCGCCGCAGCCCGCTGACCCCGCCGGGCGGCCTGTGATGGGATGATCCACATCGGTGCGGAAACAATACACAGATGTAAACAATGGGTGCTCCGCGCGCCGCGCTCAAACGGTGTCAGATGCATTCTGGGCTGCATACCGCGGGCAGGGCGGCAGGGTCCGGCAGGGCGGCGCACGGCTTAAACTAGACGGGCCGTTTTTCTTTCCGCCGCCGCCGGCCGGCCTTCGATCGGTGTGGGAAATGATTTCGGGAAGAAAAGCCGGATGGGCTGCCCCGCCCCGCCTCGCTCCGCCCTGCACCGGGCCGCGTATGCCATTCCGGTCACGTCGCATCGGGAGCACGCCGAGCAAGGACGCCGCGTCATGAAAGGAATTTCCAGCATTCGACTCCGCGAGCTCTGCCACGCGGTTCGTAAGTCGTCCTCCTTCCGCGCTAACAGCCTCCCCAAAGGCCCGACGCGGCCCGACGCGGCCACATCACGGCCGTAAAAATAAACTTCTTCATCTGGACACGCCATTAGTCTCGCTCGTTTGATGGCCGTTAAAATGGGCAGTCTTGACAAAACCAGAGGAAAATCAAACAAGCTTACGCAAACGACGGGGCGCAAGCACCACTGCACGGAGCCCCCGCGTGCGCGCGCGCACACACGCGGACCCTAACCTGCCCGCTTATCGAAATAAAATGCCTCTCCGAGCTATCGCCGTTTATAGCCCACTTTTCCAAGTGTCATTTTGAAAACCCCCGTGCCAAGGCTGCCAGGGCTGCCAAGGCTGCCAAGACTGCCAAGGCTCAACAGTTGCCGTTCAATCACCACTCGGGCTAGGGGACACGGCTCCCATTTGTTTACATGCGTGCCGCCATTCACGGCGTCGCCTGGCCGCGCTCCGCGTGCCCCGCACTGCCCTGCACTGCCCTGGCAGCGTCCCTTCAGTCCCTTGCACCCGGCGGGGCGCCGCCAGAGGTGCCGCCGGCGCGCAGATAGGCATCTCTGGCACACCGTTTCCTACGCGGGCAACGAAAAACAGGATTCGCATTCTTCAGATTGCTGGAAAAATCGAGTTCATTCAAATAGTCGCTCGATGAGGTCGGCCGGCGCGAGCGTCCACATTTTTGCACGTCTCCGGAGCCACGCGTTCCCGTGCAACGGTTTCCACTGCGCCCACGGTTTCATTTTTTCCTCCAGCCTCTCGGCCAATCTATTAGGTCACGCCCTGTCCGCCCCTCAGCCACGCGCGCTTGGACGAGAGTCTCTGGCCGGGTCGTCGTGTGTTACGCACTTTACTGCAGGCCTTTTTGGCAGTCCTTGACCGCGGCCTTGCCGCCCCGCGCGTCCATTGCGCGTCCTCAGCCTGGATTCCAGCGCCGCGCGCCTCGCGGCTCTGCTTGGCGCCTCGCTTGGCACTACTGCCTGGCACGCGTGGCGTGGCGACGGTGCTCCCAACAGCGCCGCGCCTAATCCTTGAAGTGACTCACGCCCTCGACACATATCGAGCGCGTCACCCGATAGGCGTCCAGATAGCGTCCAGATAGTGGCGATAGTGCCGAACACACAATATGCGCACCGGACGGCTTCAGTCGCAGACCTTGGCCGCACTGCCCGCCTCGCGGACCGCACCGCCGTGAACCCTGCTGCTCTCGGGACCATCACAGCACAAGAAAACGCGGCTCTAGTGAGTGTAAGAGTGTGTGTCTGTATGTGTGCAAGCCGTGTGTGTTCTTTATGCAGCACGACGGTGCCTGCTGGTGGTCGCGGCCCCAGCGCCGCCCTCTATGATTAGCCCCAACCCCCTGGAGGGCCCCCGGCCGGCCCCGCCGATCGGATCACCGTGCGGTATGTGTGCTTTACGGGTCTGACTTTGACTTCTTTACTCGCCGCATTATCGAAGACCACACTGCGAAGCGTGGCGCGGCGCGGCGGGGCACGATAGCAATCAGTGAATGGCTTCATCCGGACAACGGGCCGGTCAGAAAAATGCGAGCAGTGACGTCTTAGAGCCGCTCTCTTACGTTTAGCCGAGGGCCAATTCGTTTTCGTCGTCCTGTCGATCTGTGGCGTCAGATGCACGATGTGTTCGTATCCCCACGCTTAAAATCTTACGAAGTATTTTGAGCATATGTCAGGTAAAAAACTACTTAGTTTGTTATACGAAGAAGTAGTTCGTAAATTACGAAGTATTTTCTTTGCAAAATTAAGTATGTGCTCAAAATACTTTGTGATAACAAGGTCCTTTTCTTTGTTAGGCCAAAAATAGTTTGTGAAGTTCTCAAAGTGCCCCAGTGCCCCAGTAGCCACTTTTTCCACTCTCCGGCGTAACCCGCCGGGTGTTTTTTATCTCTGGTCGCTGGACTCACCTCTGGACAGGTCAAGGGACGTGATCTTGCCCTGCAGCACGATGTCGTTGACGGAGGAGGCATCCGTTCGCGAGTCCCAAAACCGGATCCTCTTGTCGAAGTGGCCGCTGATGATGGTGGTGCCGGAGCCGTCGCCCGTCACCAGGTCGTTACAGCTCGAGCCCGCGAACTTGGTCTCGATACCTGGGGGAGGGGGAGACCCAAACAGTCATCATTAGATCCGCGGAACAAATCGCAAATAAACGACCCGGCCAATTCGTAGATGTGGGCCTGCGACATTCTTGGGCCGCGTGGCAGCGACCCGCTAGAAAAAAAAAGGACGAAAGGGAAGTCTCGTGCGCTTGCAGTTTGAATATCAATTACGGCCAGCTAAGGGCGGGTAATCGACAGCAATTAAAAACGCCTCTTCGTTGCCCCCCACTTATTCTGCAAAGCAGGCAAATATTATAAATTTCACCGTACTCGAGGAGGGGCGGGAGTAACGTTTTGCACGCTGCTTGCTCGCCGATTCCGCCTCCGCTGACCCCGAGGAGCAGCAGCGCTGCAGCGCGCCCGTTATCAATTTACGTTTCACACCAAATTACATGCGACAAATTGACGCAGGGCTGCCGTCGCTGCGACTAATTAAAAACCCTGGGCAGTGCGCTGCTGCAGCAGGCATGCGCCGGGATGGCAGCGCCGGGATGGCAGCGCCAGCGGCTCGGGCCGCCTTTCCTATTAATTGCAGGGGAGGGCGACGTACGCATGTCCACTGTGTAATTTCATCCTCGTCGTCCTTTTATTTGCATCCGAATTAATTTACCGGGGCGACGATGATGGGCGCGGCCAAGGCCCATGGCCAGGCCTGCCGGCCCGCGCGGGGAGCGTTTACGTAGAACACAGAGTGGCCTGACGGACATTATCCCGGGGGTAAGCATTGCCTCATTCACTTCTTTTTTCTTAGTCACGTGTTTAATTTAGGCACGCCTCGGGATTCACCGCGGGACACTCAAGGCACTGGCTTCAGTTTTCAATGATTGCTGTTAGAGCGAACAAAAAAAAAATAAAGGGATTTGAAACTGTTCGCGGCTACGCGGGCCTACTCACATGCGCGGCTTCGCAGGTCCCAGATCTTGAGTGTTCGGTCGTGGCTGCCGGTGACCACCTTGGACTGCTCCAGGAACTTGGCAGCCATCACCTTACCGCTGTGTCCAGTCAGCGTGTGCTGTCGACAGAAACAAACAAACCAACATTGAAAATTAATTGTAAAATTATCTAAATTTATTTCGGCTGCAGGGGGGGTAATGCGTGTCTGCCGCCAGCGAAGCCGTGCCGGTAGCAGCAGTAGCGAAAGTAGCGCTCGCCGGCGGTCGGCACTGGTCGGCACACGACACGGAACGGTCACACGACACTCGGCCGGGCCGCCGATTTGGACACGATCCAGCGGAATTCCGCCACCTTGCCGCCGGGGCGGGCACTTCGGGGGGAGCAGGCTGCTTCAATTACACCTGTGCAGGTCCACCTGGCCGGCCAAGCGTCCTCGAGGTCACTGCCAGGCGCACCACAGTTTTGGCGAGGACGCTCACTGAATGCGTGGACGCCGCAATGGGGGACGGCCGCGGCCAACGCGTGGCGGGGCGGGCGGGGCAGTCTTGACGATGGCCGCTTGGGGAGAGTGCGGGCCGTTTGGCGAACACGTCCAAACGGCCAGTCCAGGCGCCGCGAACTTCGACCCGCCCACCGACATTCCCAACCTTGTCTCCTACCTGTCGCTTGCTCTCTCTCGTCTTGCTCCCCCTCACGCGCTCTCTTTCTACACACACACACACACACACACACACACACACACACACACACACACACACACACACACACGTGCGCGCCCGGACGTGCGTCCGTCCTGTATTCGCACCAAGCCAGAATCGCACTCACCCATACAGAGCCGCACGACAACACCACAAACAAATCTAAATACACCACCGACACACATTCACAAACACGGACACGCGCACGCGCGCGGCCAGGGCACACACCAAAACACACACACACGCTCAAGGTACACGCCGGGGACATGTGTCCGGCCAGCGTAGCGGAATCTCTGAGAGAACACGCAGAGGGACGTGGGGTCGTCGCTGGCCACAAATAATTTGATAAGTTCCATATTTGCGTGTCCAGCGGGCGTCGTTTGCAAAATTTTCGGCTTTTTGGGAAACAAGGTAAGCGGCGGGCATTCGCAGCCGGGCCACAGTTCCCACAGTCCGCGACATCCTGCTGAGAAGTCGGCAAAAATATCGGCATGATGCCCTAAAAGCCGCCGTAAAATACGGCAAAACGGGCGGCGAATCGACCTCGGAATCGACACTGTATCGAGGCGACGCTGAAAAGCTTTACCGCCCGGCCGACTGTCTGGGTGGCCCGCCCGGCCGGTGGACGGTGACCGCGAGGCGCCGCGAGGACAATTTCGGGGGAATGCTGACGCCGTTCGGGAGGATACGAGTCACTCAGTACTTGTGCCTCCTGCGGCACTTTCTCCCGCAGGGAGGCAAAGTAGAAGTGGCGGAGCATGTGCAGGGTACGTTCGCCTTCTTGCCAGTTTCAGTTTGGATTTGTACCAAAAAGGCTGCCTATAGCACTCCAGCAGCAGGGTGCCGGAAATATTCCTAAAAACCGGCCTGCGCTCGAGTTATTATGATTCAAGTAATTGAAGTGACTTTTTGTTTTGTTTGCATGACCCGCTACTTACGAAAAGGGGCAAAAACAATGGGCCGGGTGTGATGGGCGTTCGCCGGCGTTCGCAGTGTGGCGGCCCGGCCTCAGTCGGTCAGTGGGTTGGGAGATTGGCTCTGGCCGCAGCGAAGAAAGTGCAACAGTGGCAATTTTTCAGCGTGCGAGGAAGCTGAGAGAGAGGGAGGGAGAAGGGGAAGTGTCCAAAGCGGCGGCCCTTGCACCCCGGTCTGCGGCGCTGCGGCGCGCTGCAGAGGTCAGTGAAATTCTGCAGGGGTAATTACCGAGAGACCGGGATGGCCGACCTCACACGCCGAGCCGCGGCAGCGCGGCCAGCGCGCTACCACCAGCCACATGATTCGTCCCGGGCTTCAGGCATTGTTTATTCGGCTGCACCTATTCCGGAGCGCTGCGGCGTGCCTGTGGCAAACAACTTTTCGCGAGGCAAGGGCCGCGGTGTAGGCGTAGGAATGAAACAAGGGGACTCTGCGGCAGTCAGTCCTAAGAGGAGCTTTGCGTGTTTGTCGCGGTACCGCTACGGGAGCACACGCTTTCTTGGCATTTCGCAACACCGCGGGCCGCACCTTGGCGCGCCTTGGCACACGCACAGCCCGTGATTCGTCATGGTGGCCATCGCGGGAAGTACGCATCCCCAGAGCAGTGGGCACGAAAGGCCGCGCGAGTAGGCAGCCAGTAGCACACTTGAAAAAGAATCGATTCGATTTGTGACACATCTGTATTTGGAAAAATTATTTTGGAATTTATGAGAGGATTTAAGACCACGAACAAGGTGCTAGGGTTGTGGCCAAAAAGAGGGCATCTTGTCAATATAACAACGTGATTTATCTGTTTTTTTTTGTTTTTTTTTTTTTGTCTGACGTGACTTTTTGACCCAAAAATTAAGGCAGACCGCAATGGGTATTCGTATTTCATGTTATCCAGCAGAATTCTGCGCTTCACTTATGGATACCACCCTGTCCGTCCATTTCGCAGTGTGGGTGATAAGAACAGGCCATGCTGGTCGTAATGATGCCCTGCTCTCTTCAATGCAATTACAGATCCTATTAACAAGGCAAAGCTATACATTACGTGTAGTATATTAAACATCGATTTCAATTTGTTGCCGACCGGGAGCGATGAAGGTTCGTGCTTCCAGCGACACTTTAGCTTCGCCCACCAGCAGATAAAGGCTGCATCTAATGAGGGCATATTTCGCCTTGGCAAAGGCATGTTTTCTGGAAATCAATTAGCGAGCAACGACAAACACAGCACGCGTCCCGGTCACGCCCTTTCCGTGTCAGAAGGTCGAAGCGATTGCCCATCAGCCACTGCAGTGGCGTACACTTCGGAGAGATTGATTATCCAAATGAATTGGAGGGGCGGACCAGGCCACAGAGCGAGTGACTGTCTTTTCGCCCCCTCCACATCAAAAAGACAAGGCGGAGAGCTTTTCTTGATAGTCGTCATTCGAGTGGCCATTGCGCACATCGCAGCAAGTGTGAGAAAGGCGCGCGGGAAACTGCGAATCGAATGGAGGGGGTTCGGCCGGCCCGTCCGCAAGTTCGGCGTGTCGACTCTAATAACACAGATTATAACGGCAACAGTGTCATTGAACCACGGGGCGAGCATCTCCATTCACAGTGTGTGAGGGATCGGGGATCCCACGGCGGAAAACGAGCGCCATAAATATTGCGCGGGAAGAGCGAAATTCGCGCGCAGCGACACGCCTCTATCAGCCATTGCAGGCGGGCTGCTGCAGGCCTCATCAGGGATGTGTCGCACCGGGCTGCGCGGTGCGCGGTGCGCACGGTGCGGGTGACAAAACAAGGCCTTTCTCGGAACCGGCTCATTCCGCGACCAAGGGCTCATTAGAACGGCCCACCCATCATTAGTGTTCGCACCTTGGAAACAGGTTCACGACATTAGTGCCTGCTCCGTACCGCAAGCCGGGAAAGAACCACGCCACTCTTCCTCCTCCTTCTCCTTTTCAAGTCGTTTTCGGCCCCGAAAACTGAAACAACAAAATTGTTTCTGACAAACAGGTGTTTGTTTTACACGTGTTTCCTCGTAAACACCATAATTCTTGACAAACAATTTATATTTAACTGCTTCGTAGATAATTAACGCATTTTCGGGACTTTTGCAGCTGTGACGCAAATGCTTGGATTTAGATTGAGTAATTTGCAAGCGGCAGAAGAGAGGGGACATATTGTGTAATAGAGCTAGTAATTTAGCCCCAGGACGGTGTGCCGCTACAGTTCCCACACCCATTGCGTTTATATTTACTCCAATTGCGTATGGCATGATGTCTGCCTTTTGTGACAAAGCACTGCCATAACTAACGCACACATTCTCACAATTAACGTGAGGTGTGGGTGTGTGTCCGGCACGCCAACGTGCCGAGGAGATTTCAATATTTAACCGTCTCCCGCGTGACAGCCTGCGTGCAATTCGGCGCGGCGAGCCCCACGGAACACAATGCCAACGCGTGCGGCACGGACCGGCGCCACGGTGCACCGAGTCTTCCGGGTGGCGGTGGCATTATAAACGGCACTGCAGCCGGACGCTGTCGGGGACGTTGACACTCATTTAAAGCCGGAAAGCATGTTGGTTCAAAGTTTTTAGTATTAGGGAAGGTTGGGTTAGGTTAGGTTGCCACCCTCCAAAAAACATGTCAAGCATGAGTCTTATTATTTCTTATATTTGTTCTCAGATATGTGGAGCCCAGACGTGACCAAAGAATCAGTCCACCAGCCTCCTCCAATGATGCATCAACCTCACCAAGGAATGCACCCTCCACCCCCAGTCATGCACCAACCTCCGCCAGGTGCGTCTCTTGAACTTGCTCCCAAAAACGAGACACCAAAGTCAGCAGCTTCACGAATGTCCTTCTTCCTTGCAGCGTACGCGGCGGCGGCGCCGGCTGGTCGAACCGTGACAATCATCGCCATGCCAAACCTTTCCCACAATCCAGCCCACCTCACCTGCCCCACCTGCAACTCCAAGGTCGTCACCGACGTGGAGTATGTGACTGGCACCAGGACACACGCGGGTGCCATCGTCTTGTGCATGATGTAAGTAAGAGAGAGAGACTAGATTTGATAACGAAGGGATAGTACTACTTCCACCATTAATTTGGCAAGCCACGAACTAACTCGCACGTTTTTATTTTACAGCTGCTGTTGTCTTCCAGGCCTCATCCCCTACTGCTGCGACTCGTGCAAGACGGCTGTCCACACGTGCCCGGTGTGCAAACAGTCCCTGGGCGTCCACGAGCCGTAGGAGAGTGGCGCTGCGCTTTGAAACGTTGACGAAAGCGAGACCAAGAAATACGCTCACTCTTTTCCCTAGTGTCAGACAGTCCAGCATGTTGGCCCTCAGTACTTGGGTAGCTTAAGGGTTAGTTTTTGCTGTTAGGGAGTGTTTGTTTTTCTGACAGAATATCAACGTCAATCACGGTTAAAAGTCAACAATAACTTATTTTAATGTATATTTATTTATTTTGTAACCTAGTTAAGTTAATATCTTGTATGGATGTCAACTATTTTAAGATTATTTAAAACCGATTAAAACAAAATTAAGACAACACAGTGCAAAACGATTGGGGTGGATTCCAATCGCGCGAAGGCCACGCGCAAAAAGAAAACCTGCGTTTGTTAGAACACTCACTTTCCTCAGACGCAAAGTGACTCCCGCGCAGAGTCGTCCATCTCGTCGAACATCTCATTTGACCTGCTTCCGCGGACGTCTCCCTTCGGAGGCGCTCATGTTTTATGCACATATGGGATGTGAAAATAGGCCCGGATTCGCCGCTATTTGTTCTCGAGTGGGTCATAAACAAAGCGACCAACTTTCCTTACAAGGAAATGTCCAGGGCCAAAGGCTGAGGGACAATGATGTGACGAACATGAATGTGGCAGGAATTGAGTCACCGAACTCTCACTGAAAATGATAAATAACTTGGGTGATGTGGTGTTCTACTCGGAAGGATGCATTTTTAGAGAGACCTGGCCTACATAGCACTTTTTGTGACTACGCGGCTCAAGTTCCACGGTGCAGGAAGAGAACCCCCTTAAAAAAATGGCACTTTGTGATGGCCGTGGGACGCGAAGATGATATTCCTTGACTTGAGTGCCCTGGCCAAGAAGGCACACGCCCTGGATACGGACAGAATACAGTTACGCGAAAGAGGGAGAGACAACACGGGCCCATTTCCCCGATTCAACTCGTCAGAGCGCATTAGAGGAGGGCGTCGGACGGGACCGCAAGCAACGAGTAAGTGATGGAGTGAGTGCCCCGCCTCTTCCTCTAGCGCCCCCCACCACCGGCTAGGAAAAACACATCACAGATTAGATGGCAAGTGTCCCAAACACCGAGGCGCAGTTCGTCCCTCTTGGGTCACGCAGACTCCGCTCCGACAGAAACGTGTGCAGCTGAATTACACTTGTACGTAAATGAGTATAAAAAGGCAGAGGTTCAGCCCCACCCCCGCAGTGGGCAGATTCTCCCATCCAAAATGGAAACGCCGGCGCCCTGTGCATACATCATCGTTAATAAACCACACTGGCATTACACTTCCTAGAACAAGCTGGCCATTCATTCCTGCCAAAAGGGACAGCATCCTTTATCGGGGATGCCGCCAAGTTGTGTAGTGCCACGCTGCCAGGGTACCATTACCCCACTAACCAAGGCGGGACACACCTGCAAGATGAGTGATGAACTAAGTTGCCGGCCCGTCCACGCGCAGTCAAACGCCCGGGTCCGGCCCGCAGTCAAGCCCGCAGTACAGTACGCAGTGCCCGTCGTGAGAGTCACTTGAGGACACTCGGCCAATCCCGTTGCAGAGTAATGGCGCGGTTGAGTGTGGACTTGGCGCCGCGAGGAATCGCATAACATTCGGCAGAGACGACAGCATGTACCCGAACCCTTCCCCCAACGCCTCTTTGCCGGCGTTACTGGCCGATGCCGCGACTCGCTGGACCCGACCAAAATCCGGCTTGGCCCTTTTCACACGGCCCGGGGTCTCAATTAATAAACAACGCACGGCATCTTATCACCCACAAAACGGAATTCGCAACAGCCAATTAATCCCCTGGAGGCGAAAGTTCAGCCCTGCAGAAACGATGCGACTCCTCTTTTATTCCCGCAATGCATCGAAAAAAAAAAACAATAAAAAAACTAAAAACAACGGGCGGCCGTCGCCGAAATGAATGGGCGGCGGCATGCGTGCTAAAATAACGGCGAGTAGACAAAGCCTCGGCTTTAACGGCTTTATCGTGGGGCGCCTGGCCCTGCTGGGCCGTCCTGGACCAGCTGGGCCCCCTGGGCCGGCCAACAGCGCCCCCGGGGCCACACGGCCCCAATACGGCGCCCCGGGGGGCCGCCTTGCTCATCTTCACCTCATTGCTGGCAAATTGTTGCTGCTTCCGTGAGTGTACCGGAGTGGGCGCAGCCACGGGCCCGGCCGGGGCACCGCCCAAAACGGGCCGGTCCATATCTCAAACGGGACGCCGCGCGTTACTGCACTCACACACACACACACTCTCTCTCTCTCTCTCTCTCTCTCTCTCTCTCTCTCTCTCTCTCTCTCTCTCTCTCTCTCTCACACACACACATGCGGACGCTCGCGTCAGAGAGCAGGTGACTGATTTGACTCACGCTCCGACAGGACGTGGGTATTGAGCGGAGCACAATGTCAATGTCAACATCATAACAAGTTGTGCCGGCCGAAAACAAAATATCGCCCTGTCAAAATTGTAAGCGGCAAACAGACAAGACGCAAAACGAGGGAGAGAAATCAATCGGCGAGGCAAAAAGAAAATAGACTCGAGAGATGCCTTTGTTTGGGTGTGTGATTTAACACCTTGGGTTTGGGGGGAAATGCTGCCACAAAGTTGTGCAAAAGCAAAACGGAGACAAATGTCTACACTCTTAATATGGGGTGCCCAGAAACTGGGCGCCTTTGTCGCCTGCCCCACTTTTTAGGGTGCCAAATGTCGCCCAGTTTCTGGGCACCTTTGTCGCCCAGTCTCGGGGTGGACTAATCATGCAGTAACCGGCCCTCTCCCATGGTACAGCATGCACAGATGTCTAGTTCCTGGGCGACTAAGGTGCCCAGAGTCTGGGCACCTTTGGCACCTTAGTCGCTGCTGAGCCATGGGTGAAGGCAGGTTCCTTAATGGTTTGCCCACCCCGAGACTAGGCGACAAAGGTGCCCAGAAACTGGGCGACATTTGGCACCCTAAAAAGTGGGGCAGGCGACAAAGGCACCCAGTTACTGGACACCCTACATTTAGAGTCTAGATGTGATGTGGTCCGACTTTGGCAGGCCGCTGCGTCCAACCCAAGCTTGTTAAACGTACTCCCTCAACGAGGGGGACTGCTTTTGGAACTTCTTTTGGGATAGCCTAGAGTGTGTGATTAGCCAACCTGGGTCAGACGCAGCTCTTGTTCCTAGATTTGCATTAGCAAGGATCTTAAACCAAACAAACAAATTACAGTGATACTCTTCAGTCGCCAACAAGAGAATCATCTATGAGGCGACAACACAATTTTTAGGGTAGGCTTAGTCTAGTTGAGCGAAGTAAGATTTTTATTTTACAGACGTCCGAAACGAGCATTGAAACAGTCATTCTTCTTGATCCTCGTCACAAGAGAACAGGCGACGAGGAAAGATCCCGTTGTTGCGGCGGCTTAGCGCACACACGCGCGCAACATATGCACAATAACAATTGATGCAAGAGGCGCGAGAAATATACGAGACAAGCTTATGATGGATCGTCGGGCCTAAAAGCGGCAGCCGGGCATCAAAAATGTGTGCGTGTGCGAGAGGGGTGCAGCGGGTGGCGTTTGTGACGGCCTGCCTCGACCGTTATTAGCCTTTACAATGTTGTTGCACACAATGCACGCGTCATGCCCGACGCACGGCCGGCACGGGCCGCCTGGTCCAGCTGCCCCCTCCGAATTCCGTTTTGGAGATAATGGACTCACCGGTCGACGACGCCGAGACGCGCCCCAGAGGGTCCCGGAGGGGGCACCACCGCGAGTTACAGGCCGTGCCAGGGGCCAGAGGTGTGGCGACCCCGGCGGCGCCGCGGCTGCGAAATCTCCGCGCAACGAAAAGGAAACGGCGAACGGGGCGACTTTCGCCGTCGCCACACGCACCGGGGCGATAAGGCCCCCGTCGGGGTGTCGCGCTGTCGGCCGTGACGCCGTGTCCCTTTAATTGGCGCGCAGTGTCGCCCCACCAGCTTCCGTGTCGCTTTGAGCCTCGCCGCGCTACCTTTATTTGGGCGCAACGGATGTCGCGCGTGCCTTTGTGTGTGTGTGTGTGTGTGTGTGTGTGTGTGTGAGAGAGAGAGCACGCGCTTCGCATTCCTCCAGGACCGGCAGCCGGTCTCCTCTAGCTATGTAATAATACTCAGATAAATTAATTGCTTATACATTTCCCCACGCGATACCCGGGGAGATACGAATCGGCAGCGGCCGATGGCCGATGGCACTGCCCGGCGCGGGCTGGTATGGTAGCTGCACACACACACGCGCGCGCACACACACACACACACACACACACAGCGCGACACCTCGCGGAATGCGCGCAGTCCGCGCCGCGTGGGCGAGGTTCACACGCTAACGACGCGTCATCAAGCTGACCCACATTTTTGGCGACCGCGCTCTCATCGTTTTGGCGCGAAAAAAAAAAACAAACGCAAACAACACGAAAAACAAAAGCGGCGCGGGAGGGCGACGTGTCCCGGTGGAACACATAGCGGCTCTAGTGTAGGAGCAGCAGCCCCGCCGCGCGGCGTGAGGGACCGTGAGGGACGGCCCGCACGTGCGAGGCTAGGCCGCGGTGCTGCAGGCCGCGAGGCACCGCGAGGGGCGCGACCGCGCATAAAGGTGGCCGCCGCAATTAGCTACCAGTGCCTCCGCGCGATGGCGGGGTGGCCGCTAACGCAGGCCAACGCTGGGCAACGCACCGGGCCGGCCGGCCGTCGTTACAACGGGCGCCTTGGTCCTCCCCGTCTCGGGGGTGCGCTGCGCGGCGCTGCGCCGAGACCACGCCGCCGCCATGACCGCTGCTCGTTAGGTGGACACACCGCGCCGCCCGCCCGTTTATAGGCCATTATAATCACTAGCTTGCTGCGAGAGTGTGTGTGTGTGTGCGTGCATACGGTTCATTTGAGCGCCACATGCGCGGGTTCGACTCCCGGTGCCGCGTTGCAGCGCGTTGCTGCGCGTTGCTCCCGGGGCCCCAAAGGCCGTGGGGCCCGTGGGGTGCGGACAGCCCCGACAGACAGCCGCCCCAGTTCGGACCTCGTAAACATTGGCGGCGGTCCGCGGCACTAACTGTCGCGCGTCTCAATCAGCCCGCCGCCCCGGGGCCGCGTGGCCGTGGCCCTGGCCCTGGCGGCGCGTGGGCCCAGACGCCTTTGTTGTTTTTTCGAACGTGACCCGATTTCTGACGGCTTCATAAAACCATCATCCGGACAATGAGCTTCGCTTTCCCTGCCGCCTCGGTATTACGAACCGGGCCGCGAGGAAAATGCGAGGGAAAACGCAGTTTCGCCAACGGCAGCAAATGCCTG